GGCAGTGGGGGAGAGCGCCGGGCTCCGGGCAGCGGGGCTGGGGGCCGGGAGCAGGGCGAGCCCCGCGCAGGGTCCGGTCGCCCCCGGCCCCATCCCGGTGCGGTGGCCGGCGCCTGCCCGCCCTTGGCGGCTACCCACGGCCCGGGGGGGGGGCACTCAGGCGGGAGCTGCGGGGTGAGTCACCGGCAGGAAACCGGTTGCATCAGGAACGGGACTGGTTTTCCAGCCGGGGCTCTGGAAAACCCCGCTCCGGCCTCCCTCCATCCACCCCCTCTCTCCCCAGCCCCATGGAGAAGGGAGCCAGCCCCTCGGCCAGCACCTCGGCGGCCTTGGCCTCGTCCTCCACGGCCACCTTCAAAGAGGAGTTGCTGTGCCCCATCTGCTACGAACCCTTCCGGGAAGCCGTGACGCTTTGTTGCGGCCACAACTTCTGCAAGGGCTGCGTGAGTCGTTCCTGGGAGCACCGGCAGCACGTCTGCCCCGTCTGCAAGGAAACCTCCTCCTTCGACGACCTTCGCATCAACCACACGCTCAACAACCTGGTGGAGAAGATCCTCAAGGAGGAAGGGCAGCGGCAGGGCCAGGCGGCCGTCCTCTGCCCCCTGCATCATGAGGAAGCCAAGCTCTTCTGCCTGGAGGACAAGGAGTTGACCTGCTTCATCTGCCAGAGCTCCAAGCAGCACGAAGGGCACAAGATGCGACCGGTGCAAGAGACGGCGGCGGATTTCAGGGTGAGGGATGCTTCGGGAAAAGGGGGGGGACCGATGGCACGGAGAGGCACCCCTACACCTGGAGGGGTGCAGCCCGCGCACGCCCTACCGTGAACTTGCCAGCGCACGGCTTTGGCTCGTGCGTGGTGTGGTTGTACCCGCCGGCGTGCCGGGATGAAAGGCGAAGCGGCCACGCTGCGAGGGTGGATCCCCGCGGGAGTGCCCCTGCCGCATCGCTGCCCGACGCTCTCCCTGCCTAATAATTACCCGGTGCCACCCCGTCCCCCGGGACACAGCCGTTTGCCCCGCGGTAAAGGGGAGCGGGGCGATGCTCCCAGGGGTTTGGCCCGGTCCCCGCGTTTCCTTGGCTCCTTCATCCTCTGCTGGGCTTGGCTGGATCCGGCCACGCTGGTTTTTGCAGCAGCGCTTCGGGGCTGGGAGTGTGTTTGGGATGAGGGTTGCACAATTCCGCCAGCCGGGGAGGGATGCGCGATGGGGAGGCAGCCCTGAGCCCTGCGGGGCAGGATGGGCCATGGCTGCACCGGGACGAGGAGGAGGAAGAGACAGGCTCCGGCCAGCAGCTGGGCATCGTGCCAGGACCTGCGGGAACACCAGCCGCTGCTGTCCTGACTCAGCCTGCAGGGACGAGCCAGATTTCAAATGTCGCGGGGCGGCCGTGGGGCTGCTGTTTCACAAGGCTTGGCGGGCTGCCGGTGGGACCGAGCCTCCCTGGGAGCGGGGCAGTGGCTGCCTGCAGCTCCGGGACAGGCCGGGACTTGACGGTGCCTCAGTAGAAGGGCTTAAAAACAGGGGGGAGGATTCGCCACGGAGCAAAGCTCCTCTGCCTCGCTGCTTCGGGGCAGCGTGTTTGCACAGCCCCGCGCGGAGCTGACCCCATGCAGCGCCGGCAGACCTCGGCCACAGCAGGGTAAAGGGTGGATTGAGCAAGGATCCTGCTTAACCTCGTCCTACTGGGTTTGGGGCTCTTGTCTTTCCGCGTTGGAAACCCCGGGCGTAGGTTTGCGAGGGTCCTGAAGGCGTCTCCTCCCCGCAGGCCAAGCTGAAGAACATGGAGACCTCCCTGCGGGATAAGGTGACGGATTTTGGGGCCGTGCATCGCTCCTACGAATCCATCTCCAAACACAACCAGGTGCGTGGTCCCTCCTGGCAGGGAGGCGATGGGCCTGATCCTGACATGTGTGCACACGTATGTACGTGCCCCGGGTGGAAATGCGGCTGGCTGTGGGGTGGGAGCATTGCGCCCATCCTGGGCTGCTCCATCCCTGAGGGAGGAGGGATTGGGAATTGGGGACTGGGGTGCTGGGGCTGGGCCTGCCGTGGCAGCAGGGCCATTGATTTTGGGAGGGTGGCGTGGTCTCGGTGGGAGCTCAGCGAGTCCCTGAGCGCTGGAGCTGGTTGGAGGGCTCCGGAGGAGCGTTTCTGGGGGGAGCCCAGGGGAGGTGGGGGCTCCGAAGGGAGGTGGTGACGTCCCCATGCGGGGCAGGTGGAGGCGACGCGGCTGGAGGAGCGGATCAGGAGGGAGTTTGAGAAGCTGCACGAGTTCCTGCGGGGCGAGGAGAAGGCGCTGCTGGCCCAGCTGCAGGAGGAGACGCGGCGCAAGCACAGCCTCATCGAGGGCAAGATGAAGCGGTTGGCCAAGGAGAGCCAGGCCCTGCTCAACGAAACCCGCCAGCTCCAGGCGGACCTCAAGGAGGATGACTACACGTTCCTCATGGTAAAACCCTGCCGGGGTGCTGCCCCGTGCCCCGCGGGGTGTCACCCTCGCCGTGGCACCCTCCTGCCTCTGCCGGGGTGCGAGCGGGGTGCTGGGTGATCCTTTGGGTGTTTGCAAGCCCCCGTGACCCCTTACAAGTGGGGGGCTGATGTCCAGCGTCTCCTTCTCTTTCAGACCCACAAGAACCGCAAGCGTAGGTAAGTCCCGGTTCCCGCCGTGTCCCCTGCCCGGTGACACAGGGGTGACACCTCCCTGGGGTCCGAACGGGGTCTCCCGCCTGGCTCCAGAGCGAGGTCTCTGCCCCGAGCGAGTTCCCGTACCCACGTCTCCCCTCCGGGTCTGGGTGCTCCGGCAGAAGAAAGTGCTGGGGGGGTCCCTAAGGGCAGGCAGCACCCCTGGGTGCCTCTGGGCAGGATGGGGGGGCACGCAGGCAGCATTGCAGGTCTTTCTTAGGAGGAGCTTTAAAACCCTGATATTCGGGGGGGGGATTTGGTGCTGGGACCCTCCTGGGGTCATTCACCACCCTCCTGGGGTGAGGGCAAGGTTTGGGAGATGCAGGGTGCTGGTGGGGAAGCCCCTGCCAAAACACAGGGTGCAAGGAGACACAGCCCGGTCCCTTCCTCCATCCCTGCCCCGTCTCCAGGATCGCCTG